TAGAATACTCACAGTCCATACACACAATGCAGATACACCCATTCTCTCTCAATACACCCACACACACCATCCATAGTACCCTCCAATTATATGTACATTCACATACGCCCCCATCCTCACCAAGATGTACCCAAATTCTCTCTCTGACACACATACACCATCTAGATATACTCCATCATACACTTTCATTGCCTAGATACACTTGTGCTCTCACCCACCTACACATCATCTAGGTATGCTCTCACTTGAATGCCCCCATCCCATTACACCCATACTCTCTCATACACATACTCTACCCCAAAACACCCACATCCTCTTACACATACAACACAGATATATCCACATTATCAAACATATATATATGTATGTATGTATATATATATGTATATATAATTCAGATACTCCCACTCTCTCTTGCATCATCCAGATACATCCATCCTCACATACCCCACAAATATACACATCCTCACACATGTTCCTACCCAGCCACACCCAATCTCTTACTCATATGATCTTCCACCCAAATAGGCTGATATTCTCAGAGTACCTTACAAACACACCATTTACATACATTCACACTCACATTCATCCTTCCCAAATAAAGGTTTCCCCTCTATCCAAAACTACAGCATTCCTATGAAACCTTTTGTAAGTCGAAATGGTGTAAAGTCAGAAGTATCTCCCACTTTCTGAAAGTTTGTGTTATGCCACTTTGCTTTTATGAAAAAAGCCATTACCTTACTAAAGTATGTCTTTCATGAAAGGGAAATGGCTTAATGAGAACGTTTGGAAAGCGGAGTCTACCTGTACACCCAAATATCTCACATATACACCCTAACCAGAAACACCAAGGCTCTCTCTTACATACACACAATGCAAATACTTTCTCTCTCCCTCTGCCCCCAGATATACTTTCACTTACACATACACATTCACATCTAGATTTCTGCCTGGATGGCATAATTTGGGTGCTTTCTGTGAAAATTATTTATATAGATAAGTATATTCACACACATTCACACATGAGTGTACTCACACATATAAACACTCAGGTGTGTACATGCTTGTCAATGAGATGATATATTCATATACAGACATTCTAACACACATAGACTTACACACACAACTGAGCATGTACACCTGTGAGCACATTCACATGCACACAGATTTGTACAGCATTCATTTCTCTGTGTACACAATCAGGCATAAATATACTTAAAAAACACACAAATCACAGATGTGCACATCATGTATGTTCCTACATGTTCATGCATCCATATGAAAAGTATGTAAACAAAAGAAGATTCATTTACACTTACATTCCCAGATAGACTTGGACACAAAGGTATGTCCGCACACATGCACACAGGGAAGAAAAATCACATATTCTCACATACTTGTACATCTGCAAAAGAAGAATTGGTACCACTCATCATGACGCACACATGCAAAGTCATCCTCATACACACACATACACACTTATAGGCCAATAGTGGCATGGGCACACATTCATTTACACTGTTCCACAACATATGTTCCAGAACAAACGATGGTATATAAGCATAACATACATATGCAAATAATTAGAACTGTGAAAACTGGTACATTCACATATCTGTACATTCAGCTAGGTACACACACAGACATTCACACACACACACTTAGATGTGCATGGGCACAAGAAATGTGCTTGGACACAGGAAATATTTAATGCACAAAATATTCACTCAAATGCACACACGGCCAGATGTTAACACATACTAACATAGACACATATATACATTCAGTCACATATCCACATTCACACTTAGAAATTCAAATAAAACATGAGACATGTGCACTCAAGTATTATGAAATGTAGTTATTCAAGCATACCACAATCAGACATGCACTCACACATAACAGTGTACTCACAAACAATGAGACATATACACAAATGCATCTATTCACCTTGCACACAGCCTTTTGTGCAGATACATACAGGTGTACACCTCCCCCAGCCCTACCCATCCATATACATAATCAAATGGGCACACACAAAATATATTTCCATGCACAAAACATGTATTCACACTCTCCCTAACCCACACAATTAGCTCTCCTTATACTAATGTGGCCATCTACACTAACATTTCCCCAATCAGATGTAAACCCAGAGGGCTGTCTACAAACAAAATGTACTCAAGCATGCACACAGACATATACACAATTAAAAATACTGGAGAATCCACATGGACATTCACATACTTACATATGAGGCCTACTCATACATATACATGGCAGACACACCCATATAGAAGCATGTGTGCACACATACCCTGTCATACATTCATGGACATATAAACATGCCTTACACTCACAAACATACCATTTAGATGCACCTACACACATATGCACACATGGGCACATACAGATAGATATACACGATCAGATACAACTAGGCATTCACCTATTTGGACATGTAGTTCCAGACATTCTGAAACCCTCACACCCACACACATACACTCAAAGACAAATTGATACCACACACATACAACCAGACATTCAACAGGCTTACTTACTCAGAGCAACACACCCTCATCCAGACTCAGAATCACACATGCCCATTTGCTTACCCAGAGAGACATGCAAAGTCATACCCACTCCCCTATACACACACACAAGCCTACCCAAACATGCACACACCTTCACGTGGCCTGCTCACAGACACAGACTCATACACATCCACAGTGCTCATGAACAGACACACAAACACAAACAGACTACACACACAGCCACATTTTCAGTTGCACATACACACCCACACTGAGGGCCAGATGCCTCCGGACCGCAAGCTGGGTCCTTTCCCTTCTGCACCAAATGCTTCTTCAGAAAAGTCTACTCTAGACCTCAAAGCCCCACCCTTCCCTGCCCCCACATAGGGCATTTTCTGGGCCTCAGTCTTTCCCATCCTCCTCCTCCTCAGCCTTGAGGACCCTTCTCCAGCCACCAACCCCTCACCCACTGTTCCACCACATGTCCACACCCAGAAACCAGCCAGCAGACCCCACTGTTTCCCCAGCCCAGGCTCTAGGTTAGCAACTCTCTGGGACCCGTCCTCCACAGGTCTGACTGCTGCATGGGCCACACCCCAGCTCTACCCAAAGCCCTGAGATCTCAGAAGCTTCAGCCTTGTCTATAGGCCATGCCAACCACTGACCACAGGCCAAACTCTTGCCAAGTCTCCCCTCAACAGGGAGACGCATACATCACCAGGGCCAGGAATGCTGCAGGCTGCAAGCCAAGCCTCTGCTAGATCATAGGGGGGAGGGGGCAGCTGAAGCCTGTGTGTGTGTGTGTGTGTGTGTGTGTGTGTGTGTGTGTGTGTGTTTCTGCACAGACAAGGGACGGGGCAAGTGCAAGAAAAGGAGCCTAGAGTGGGGTGGGGACAGGAGGCTTTGCTCAAAGCCACCACTTATCACTCCCTACAAATGAGGAGCTATAACACAGAGCTGATCTGCCTCCACTCTACTACTCCCCATATGCCTCCCTGCTGCCCTCTCCAGATCTCTACCAAGACCCTGGAGAAGAGGGGTCAGCGTCTCCCCTGAATAATCAATAACAATATTAATCATGAATAATCAGCAACAGTATTGACTATGAGCTTTGCTGACACTGCTTCAGAGCCACTTCTATACACATCTTTTCTTTCCATGCACCAACTCATTTAGTCACTACACACACCCATGATGGAAGGGTCACCAGTCTTTGTCAGATGGGAAAACTGAGGTTTAGTAAGGGGCCCGCTTCCACTAAAGTTGCAGTTAGGGGAAGTGCCCCTGGAGAATCCATGCTCTCCATGTACCAGGCTTTCTTGCCCCTCCAGACATAGAGAACACTGGCCACTATGCACAAGGCTATAAGCTCTTGGGGTCCCAGACACAGCATGCATGTCTGAAACAAAGACAGACAGCCTTGTGATGGAGGCTGGGGTCCACACTGTGGGGACAACCATGTTGTGTCTGGCCCCTGCAGGTTGATGTGTGATGTGGTCCTTGTCCCCACAGAGCCATTAGACAGCCTAGGGCCTGGAAATGCTCCCTGCCCCCACCTCACCTTCCTTTTAGCCCTACAGTGTGGCTTCCTCCCCCTATCTTGGAATCGCAGCAATATCTTCGGTGGTGAGTGAGCAAAAGTCTACTACCTGTGGGGAAAAACAGGGGAAGAAGGGAAGGAAGCAATGGAGGGAGGAGGGAGAGATGAAGGAAAGAAGGAGTGGGGGGTGGTCTGGGCTGGGAGCAGCTTCTCTATCATGTCTACCCACTTGCCTGCTCACACAGACAGGCAGACACACACCCTGCATGCAGGCCAAGGAACCTGGAGGAGAGTGGAAGAGGAGGGAGAGGGAGAGGAGGCAGCTGCAGGAGGCTGAGCCTGCTTAGGGTGCAGGCATTGTGAGGAGAGCACCACCGGCTCCCAGGCATGCCTTCCACAGCTAGCACACAAGGAAATGTTAGCACAGCCTCTTGTCCAAATGCGACCATGATGATAACAGACCCCGTGCTGGGGAAACAGGTGGTGGTACCCTTTCTCATGGGACATTTGGGATTGGGAAAGATGGGGATGGCTAGAGGACTCTCCAAGCTTGGGTGTCCAAGTAGCCCTTGTGATGGAGCAGAAAGAGAGAGAGAGACTAACAGAGAGAGAGAGAGAGCATGCAGTGATGGAGACTCTGAAATCTGTGTGGGGAGACAGAAGAGAAGTCCCAGCCCCCATCCTTGGTGGAGGGATGCTGACTACTTACCTGGGCTCCTCTCAGCAGGGCTGTCTTGGAATCCAGGGAGGGAGCTCACGCTGTCTCACCCAGGATAAATCACATCCCAGGCCACATTGTGGGACCCTCCGTGATCTGGCGGCCAGTGACACTCCTGCTTCTGTTGCCGTGGATACAGCTGGGCTGGTCTAAATCGCAGACATCAGGGGAAGCAGGCACCGGAGGGGTGCACTGAGCAGGGCTGGGGGTGTTGGGGAACACCAGGTGGGCAGCACACAGCCTTGGGGTGCCCAGCTAGCTGGCAGGTGGGGGTCCGGGCAGGTGCTTCCCCCACTACACACTCCCACCCCCATCTTCATGCCACCGCCAAGCTGGGAGGGGGCCAGCGCTGGCCCCTGCTACCCGTCTGCCCGTCTGGCTGCCGGTCCCTCCGCCCCCCCCCCGCCCCCCCTGTCTGCCTGCTGGCCGCCGCCTTTTGTCCTCAGAAGACACGGTCCCCGCGGAGCCTCTGCCAAGCCTCTAGCAGATGCTCAGGGTCCGGGGCTCCTCCCTGGGAGCACTTGGGCCATGGCCTGGGAGAGCCCCAGGTTGAGGGGGCTCTCATCCAGGTTCCCCCTGCTCCCTGGGCCTGGAGGGGATGGGGAAGAGGTGCAGGTCCACAGCCAGAGGCAGCAGCAAAGGTGGTGTTGGGGAGGGGATGGACGCCAGAAAGGGGGGTTGGGGTGGAGAGAGAGGCTGGCCTGAGAGCTGTGTCCCGGGTTTTAGATCCGGGTTGAGGAGGGTGGCTCAGAGCATCCGAGGGGGGGTCCTGGTGCAAAACGGGGGCACCACGGGCCTGCCGGAGGGACCCTCCAGGTCTGGGAACCACCGCAGCTCACACAAATCCAGGTTCTAAGATTCCGAGACACTCAGCCTGAATAGAGCATCAATGGGGAGCCCAGGGCCCTCAGCTGGACCCCATCCTGACTGTCCGTCCCCCCTCTCCTCGATTTGCACGGTCCCTACCTCAGGGGCGGGCGGAGGGAGGGAGGAGGGAGGGAGGCAAGGAGAGAGAAGGAGGGAAGGAGGGAGGCTGAGCCGGCAGGGAGACTCCCAGCCGCCAGCCTGGTCCTCCCTGGGGCGGGGCGGGGAGGGGGGGCTGGGGAGGCCGGGAGCAGCCGGCTGGCTGGCTGGCCGACTGGGTGGGGATGCTGGCGTGGCGGCTGTGCTGCCAGGACAATAGCTGGCTGGGGAAGTCAGACTCGGGGCTTTTCTGAGATGCTCGAGAGAGGCATGCGGGGAGGTGGGGAGAGGTGGCCAAGAGGCTGCTGAGAGAGGCACTCACGGGGGCTACAAGTACAGAGGGGACAAGGGTGGGGGCTCTGAGGTTGGGGTGGGGCAGAAAGGTCCTGTGGAAGTTTTGCAAAGGCTTGGGGATGGGAGGGATGCTTAGAGCTCTGAGAGGTGGGGTAGATAACCTTATTTAGAATGGATTCTATGGGCATTTTCCCAGCCAAGACCTGGAGGTGGGCTGGGGGTGGGGGTGGGGGTGGGCAGGGCAGGGAATGCTGCCCAGCTCTGAACAACCCCTCTCAGGAAATCTCCGGTACCACCCTTACCTTCTTGGGGCTGCTAGACTGGCAGGCACCCATACTTAAGTCCATGTTCCAGGACAGCAGAACGGGACAGGTGAAGAGACAGCTTGGTTGGCAGAGATTTGAAGACAAAAAAATATTTCTGTGCTGAATGGACTAAATTGGGACCAAATGATGCCATAGCGGCTCCCCTAATTTATAGCTTTCAAGAATCCCAATTGTCTCAATATAAGCAATTTTACTTCCTTTCTCCCCCCACCCACTGGTTCACCTACTTTTTAAACATGCTTTATGTTAGGCCCAGGTGGCTACTGACAATTTCGGGTGAATCAGACTTGCTCTATGCCCTCAGGAAACCCTTGCTTTGCTACCCAACTGTGGTCCTGCAGCCCAACTGCGTCTAAATCCCTTGGAGAGCTTGTGAATGTGGATCCCCAGGCCTACCTCCCAGAAGTACTAATCTAGGAGGTTTGGGATGAAACCCTATTTTGACAAGGTCCTCAGGTAGTAGCTTTTATGTCCACTGAAGTTTGGACACCATACTTTGAAGAGGCAGGAAAACCCATGAGTCAAAGATAAATTCACAATGGAAATTAAAATTTATTTATTTTTTAAAAAATATATATTTTTATTGATTTTTTTTACAGAGAGGAAGGGAGAGGGATAGAGAGTTAGAAACATCGATGAGAGAGAAACACCGATCAGCTGCCTCCTGCACACTCCCTACTGGGGATGTGTCCACAACCAAGGTACATGCCCTTGACCAGAATCGAACCTGGGACCCTTCAGTCCACAGGCCGACGCTCTATCCACTGAGCAAAACCGGCCAGGGCTAAAATTTATTTTGAATTGGCAGTTAATAAAAAGATTACATCTGAAATCCTGTGGATACTCCTCAGGCCATGCTTAGAGAGACATTTATAGCCTTACACTTATATATTATTATTTTTTAAAAATATATGTTTTTATCGATTTTTAGATAGGAAGGGAGAGGGAGAGATAGAAACATCAACGAGAGAGAATCAGTGATTGGCTGCCTCATGCATGCCCCCTACTGGGGATTGAGCCTGCAACCCAGTCATGTGCCCTGACCAGGAATCAAACCAAGAACCTCTAGGTCCATAGGACGATGCGCAACCCACTGAACCACACTGGCCAGGCTATATATTATTTTTTATATGAAAATCCATCTTATTTAAAAAAAAGAAAAAAAAGAAAATCCATCTCAAGAAGTTAGAAACTAGAGGAGAAAAAAATAACAGAGATAAGAACAGAAATCAATAAAAAAACAGAACTATAGCAGAGAGACTCAACAAAGCTTAAAGTTTTTCTTTGAAAAAAAATAGAAAAATGATAAATCCCTGACACTGATCCAGACACATAACTAGCATGAGGAACACTACAGGGGGTACTACAATACAGGTCACAGATACATTAAAATATATTAAGACAGTATTATGAAGAACTTTATACCTTCAATTTTGAAAATTTTGATAAAATGGGGAAAATGCAATTCACTAAAACATAAGAAAAAATTTAAATCAGAACAGTCCTATAACTATTAAGTTATTGAATTTATAAGTAAAAAGCTTTCCACGAAGAAACCTCCAGAGGCTGTCAATGGTGCACTCTACAAAATATTTAAAGAAAAAGATAACACCAATTTTCTAATTTTGCGCAAAATTTTTCAGGGAATTGGAGAAAAATTATACGACCATTTCAACAGGTGCAAAAAAACGCACCATGACAAAAAACTTAGCAAACTTAAATTTGCAATAAATATATGGGAAATTCCTTAATTTAACACACATTACCTACAAAAAACCTGTAGCAAATACCATATCTAGTGGGGAAATCTTGAACAGTTTTCATTTAAGATTGGAAATGAGGCCAGGATGCCCACTATAATGACTTTTCTTCAAATTATACTGGAAGTCCTGGCTAGTGCACTAAAGCAAGAAAAATAAGTAAAAGACATAATGATTAGAAAGGAAGATATAAACATGCAACTTCATTTGTAGGCAATGAAATATAATATAAAATCACACTCACTAGAGTGACTAAAAAGAAAAAGACAATACTGAATGTTGGTGAGAATGTGGAGTGGCTGGAATTCTCATACAATGCTGATGAGATATAACCCTTTATAACCCTTTGGAAGCTGTTTAGCTATATCTACTAAAGGTGACCATATACACGCCTCATAACCCAGCAGTCCTACTCCAGAAAAGCTTACGTTTATCAAAACATATGCAATAATGTTCACAAAAGCATTATTTGTAATAGTCCAAACTAGAAACAACCCAAATGCTATCAACAGAAGAATGCTAAATTGTGGCATAGGCGCACAGTGGAATACTATACATTGACTAGAAGAAATGCCTCGCAACTACATACAAGCATAAGGATGAATTCCATAAACATTGTACTGAGCAAGATAAACCAGACATAGAAGAGCACATACTATATAGTTCCACTGAGATAAAGTTCTAAACCAGGTAAAACTAATCTAGGGTGATAGACATCGGAATTGTCTTTGGCGTCTGAGTAGGAGGTCCAGACTTTCCAGAATGCTGGAAATGTTCTGTTTCTTGATTTCTGAGGTGATTACATGGGTGGTTACTGAGCAACAATTCATTGAGAGCTGTGCGCTTAGGCCTGGTGTACTTTTCTTTATGTGTATTATACTGCAAGAAAAAAAATTTTTTAATGAAAAATAAGCGGTCATATTGTTTCATCATAACAGGAGGCAAAAATGGCAACTGGGAGCTGTGGGAGCTTAGGGATGTCAGGGGTCGTGTGGGCAGAGGTAGGGGGAAGTGGAAGTGAATTAGAAGATGTTTAAGAGGCAATATAGTGTAGCGGTTAAGAACATGGACTCTGGCTCCAGGCTGCTTTGGTTTTGAATCCATGCCTCTTCCTCTCCTTTCCTTTCAAGTACCTTCTCTATTAAATGAGGTCATAATAGTGCTCACAGTATAGAGCTGTGAGGATATATGAGGTAATCTTTGTCAAGTGTTCATAATAATGTCAAGCCAGATAATGAGTACCATGCACATCTTGATTAAATAAAAATGATGCCTACGTGAGTGAAACAGCTCATACAAAAGCGTGGGGGTGGGGTGAGGGTTCCAGAAAGCCAGATGTTTTTGGCAATTTGTTGTGGTCTGGGTGAGGCATGCTCCTCCGGTACAGGGCAGACCCGGAATGACAGGCTAAAGATCTCAGACTTTCTCTCAAAGATAGTGATATTTTTCTATCTTTGAGACTCCTGCTATCTTGGTTTTACCCTCAGTTAGCTTCCAACCCACGTCTTTCTAAAGCCCTTGGGAGAAAGGATTGTTCTGGTGAGATCCTTGGAATGGCAAGGAATAGCAATGAGGAAAGGAGGGCAGCAGAGGCCAGCTAGACTCAAGCCTGTCACCCTACCCTCCACCCTGAAGCAACCTTCTTCCCTTGGCAGGGGGAAGAGAGGGTTCTCCAAAAAGGCTTGTCTCTATGAGATAAGCACATAGGAACTAATAGGCAGAGCTGTAGCGGGAGAAGAGAGGGGAAACTGAGTCATGCATTTGTAGCCACAGTCCCTTATTTTGAAGCAACTCCAACATTCTAGGAATGGGAAATCCTTGGTTCTCTTTTGCCTCTGCCCCTCTATTTACCCGCCTGTACAGGTGGGGAGATAAGCCCATTTGAGAGGATTTTAAAAGTTCCTTATTTCTTCCTGTTTCTTTCTCTGAAATGACAGCACTGCACCACCTTTGTGGGGCTGCTGTGTTCTATTTAACCAGTCCAGGTTGCACTGAAGTGGGAGAAAGAGTGCCATGTTTTAGC